AACTCCATAGCTACAGCAACGTTCCTCAATTCACCCCAGAGTGTCAACTCTGGTACCAATTTCCTAGAGGCTGGGTGAACCCTGGGATTCACCCGGTTTCGAACACCAACCGTGGCTGCAGCAAGTCGCAGCTAGATTTAAAAGCGAGCCTCCTATCGACTTTGCTATAGCGGCGCACATCACATCCTAGCTGTAAGAAACCACACAGTGTGCCAAACGCCCTTTTATGGATGTTCATAGTTCATATTAGTTATCATCTTCATCACCCGTCGGACATGAACATAAATGCTCTGATCTCATTTTGAGTATGTCCTCATGTGTTTTTAGGCTAACAACTCCCATTTTGTTCTGGCTGATGTAATGGCGGGTGGCTCCCGCATAGCTTTCCTGTGTAGCCGTTCCAACTGGTACACCCAGGGTATAGTCTATTGAGTGAAAAATCATTTCCCATAGAACAAAAATTTTATGGATGTATGCAGAAGAAAAAGAGGCAGAAAATGTCCAAATATTCTAGGTCATGCCATAATGATCTGAGGTGGCCAGTTCTTTATGTCATTTTTATTTCTTTCACAGAAAGAGACCAGATAATTCTGGAAATGATCTAGCACCTATTTTTACAAGGCTGAACTGATCTAATAGTTGCCAATTTGGAGAAAAAAAATCTAGCCAGAGCTAGCGATTAAACTTAGGACCACAGTATGGGCAAGCGACTGGCTGTTAGGTTGACTGGAATGAAATTCACTTTTCTCAGGATCACATTAAATGTTGCAAAATATAATTCCATATAGGTTATACAATCAAAACAGTCCAAAAAAAAACCACACACACAAATGAATGAGACAACATGCACAATAAGTAAAAAACAATATCAATGAGGCTTTGGAAAATAAACCAATAGAAATACTGTAAGCAAAATTCTTGCACTACTGATATGTTTATAGAAAACTAACTGGGCGCCACACAAAAGAACAATTAAATCAAACCAGAAATATAGTAAATCAGTGATAACTTTTCTGTTCTCAAACACATCAGCCCTCCCCCACCTGCACACTGTGAAATGCACTCAAACAGTGGCTCTTCAAAGAAATGAAATCAGAAAAAAACTTTAAAAGAAAAATAAAGTACACTGTATCTATTTTCTCCAAGTATTTAGTTTTATCTTTTATTTTTTCATTTTGTCACTGAAAATAAAAATAAACTGAACTGATGACATACGCTCAAACAGCACAATATATTTCACAATATCCGATGCAAGACACAAATATTTTTTATCAGCAACTTTCTGAGCCCAGTGATCACCTATCTGTCTTAAGATCAAAAACAACTGAGAACCTAACATTGATTTGCTCAGCAAGAATACGAGTCAAAAACAGCAATTACAATGAGTTTCATAGAAATAAGCTAATTCATACAAAACAGTACGTAATAAATTAGACCTTTTTTTATTTTTTAATGAGTTCAATTGAGCAATCATGAAAGAATAAACAAATTTTAAACTGCTTGTTTGTTACAAATAATAATAATTTTTTTTAATTATATTTATATTATGGGAGGGAAAATGCAAAGATATCATGGCCTAGCTGTAAACAACATAACATTACAACCTCCCTTTAAGGTGAATGCAGAAGAAGAAGAATCACATCACAGCTTTACAACACTCAACACAACACACATGGTTGAAGAGAGCCACATCTTATGAAGCCTACGCTGACTGCTCATTATAAAATCAGGGATTCCTAAACCCAATCTCAATCTCATTCAAGACTCAATCTTCTTTTTTATCTTATTGTTCACCAGCTGTAAACTCCAGCATAAAGTTCTGGTTGTTCGTCCACTCCTCAACTCTAGCTTTGATTTTTTTTTAAACTTCAGCTTTGAGTCCATATCTCTTTTACAGATCTTAATGTATCTGCATGCAGAATATTGGTTACTTGCATCTCAGGCACATGCACTCTGACTTGAAGGAAACACCTCCAATCATTCATCTTCAAGGACATGATTGTTAGGAAGGAGCAGTCAGTCTGTTCTTTTTTCTGCCAAAATGACTCCTGGTGCCCACCCAGGAATTTGAAGCTCGGTGACATGGGACACACACAAGTTGTGGCTCAATACAAACCATACAGCATGTGAAAGATCTTAACATTCTTACTTACAATCCTCGCAATCTGGAAAATACTATGTTAGTAAACTGATGCTCTCACTCAAAAACAAATGGCTGCAGGTATGTAGATGTATTGGAAACATAGGACTCATGAGATGAAAGCATAAACATGCTACAAAAAGAGTTTGAAATAATATGTAACTAAAGAATTGAATACAAATTAATGACACAGAAAAATTACAAAATAAACTAATAAAATAATTAACAGTGAAGTCATTATAATAAAATAATGAAATAGATAAATAACTGACAAAAATGCCTTTGAGTGCAGAGAGTTACGAACAAAACACTTCATGTTTGTTATATTAGGTCAGCACTTGTAAGTGACAGCATTTCACTAAAAGCTTTGATACACTCTGACCAAACGTACTATTAAAGAACATGTCATGCTGTAACTAAGATTTACAGATGAAACTGGCTACTTCCCTAGGAAAATTTGAAGAGTTAGTGAAGCTCAAATTTCAATCGAAAAAAATTAATTTTTAAAGTTGACCATGTTCAACCTGCTTAAAACAGCTTTTGCTGGAGCAGCATTCTGTTATATGTGTGGTCTGATTTATCTGTGCCAAGTTTATTGCCTGATAAGTGTGTATTTGTGCCTGGGTAGAGGGCTCAGTGTCTTTCTCCGAGTGTACTGTCCACCCCTATATTTCTTAACTCCATTTTGGCCTTGTCTTGTCAGATTTGCCTTTTTGATTCGTTTGTGACAGGCATCTATGTTTTTAATTTCTGTCCAGGTGAGGGTCCTTTGTGTTGTCTAACAATCCTGTTATGTGGTCCAGAGACAGCCTGGTTACGTTAATGATTGTAGGAAAACTGCATGACAGAGAATTTACACCATGTCAGTCTCTTCTAAGTAACACAGCAGGCTACATGTAACGAAGATGCCCACACAAGTTCTGGTATGCTGAAGTGGTGTCACGTTTTGTTATTTTCAACGCTATAAGCATTCTATATTCCATGTTGTGAGTGGCGAGCACATTCTATTTTCCAGCGGCTGGCACTCTGTGTATTACGTGCATTGTCACTATCTCTGTGGCGTCAGTTTGTGACTTGGCTTTGGAACTTCCTTCAACTCTCAGCACTGACGAGTGACAAGCAGAGTAGCGTTGCTTTACTGTAAGGCTGTCCCCAGATGGCCCTTTTAGGGTCTATCCAAAAATGTCATCAATTCTCAAACCAGAAGATATGTGGTTGAGAGAGTATAGAAATCTAGTTGAAGCCCCGGTCGCAGACTCAATGTAGACTGTCCTGAATGAGACTGGACAGTTTCATGTTGCACCTCAAACAAACCGGAGTGGCTTTTCTGCGCATGGTGTGTGAAGACAGAGAAGACAAAGGAAGACAAATCCTAACACTCTTACAACATTGCAGAGTGAGGAAGAACAGGCGGATGGCATGAATGGAAGGCTGACACTGAACAAAACCTATCTGTGACACTTTGTAGTCATCCTAGAAACTGGTTTTTCCACCAGCGGCCTTTCCAGCTAGTCAGATCAATGTGTCCTTTAAAGTCTGAGCACGTACGCCTGAGAAGTGATGAGCCCACAGTCTGACACATAAGCCAGATCTGTAAAATGGATGTGTATGTAACATTCAATTCCTGAAACAAAACAAAAGCCCAGCTGTGTATGAACAACCAGGATTTTCTACCGGTTGACAAAGAAGAAGCAGAAATCCACATTGAGGTAGATTTATAAAAGTGATCTGGCCTCCCAGGTTGATCCGGAATGCAATAAGTACCAGAAAATAATGTAGAAAATAATGTAGCTAGCAAGATGTTGACCACTTTAGACAGTTTTATGGTAGGGTAACTCCTGTGTTAATTCAGTTTTGTGGTATGGTAACTCCTGTGTTAATTCAGTTTAATGGTAAGGTAACTCCTGTGTTGATTCAGTTTTATGGTAGGGTAACTCCTGTGTTAATTCAGTTTTGTGGTATGATAACTCCTGTGTTAATTCAGTTTTGTGGTATGGTAACTCCTGTGTTGATTCAGTTTAATGGTAGGGTAACACTGTATGAATTCTAGGGTCCCATGTTAGTGGAAGGGATGGGAAGGGAATAAATGCATTGTTCCTCAATAAGCACGTCAAAACAGGCGACTAAATAGGGAAATGCTGAAAGCAGATCTTTTGTCTAAAAAAAGATATTGCAGTCTCGTTGTAATCCACAACACAACATGTCAATTGCCATTTTAAGAATAAATGCAGACAAAGGAACACGTTTTTCACCCTGAAGAATATGAACATGACATAAACAAAGATAATAAAATCTTAAAACAATAGCAAATTTTTTTTAATGACTCAATGCTCTTACCAAGTTTAGCGTAGGCAGCCTGCCATTTTCGAGTGAAATCATCCAGGTCTGACTTAATGGCCTGGGCCGTGTCATACTGTCTGACAATCTGCTCACCCAGCACCCTCATTTTATCAATTCGTTCTTGATGTGCCTGCATGGCCTTCAACTTCACCTGTTGGTAAAATATAAATGTATATTCCATCTGTTACATCTGTATAAATTATGCAATTTATTCTAATATTTCAACTTACTGTCACTCGTGTGTGTGTGTGTGCATACATGTGTGTATGTGTGTGTGTAAAATCAGTCCTTGTCAGTAAAAAGAAGGAAACACTTTTTTAGTTAGTGTTTCCTTAGTTTTCTACACCATATTTCTAACATCCCAAATACATACATGGGAACTATTCCACAAGGAAGACACATTACAACTGATGAGTGGTTTGATCAATACATGGAGACCAACAACTATGTCTATGCTACAAATCCTACCTTGCACTGGTCCAACTGTCGAGTAATTTCCGGTGCATCATCGGCAATACTGTCAGCGGAGCTGACCCACTTCTCATAGACAGACATCAGGTCCTGCAGCGCAGAGAGCTCAGAATAGAACTTCTTCATCTCAAAGTTGAGCTCGACTTTAGCCTGTGTGTCTGCCAGCTTGTCACTCAGTCTCTCCCACCTTTCCTCCAACCCTCTGATCACTATGCTCATCTTGTCCTGGGGTTCTCCAGCTGTGAACAGAGAGTATCTCCTTGTCTTCAGACACAAACAACAACAATTTGCATAAGAATCAAATCAAGCAACTTTACAAGTTAAGATTTGTCAAACTTGTGACTACTGTACCGATATTTGTCAAGCATATCAGAGAACTGTTTGGAGTCACCAAGTGGAAAGAAGAAAAGGCTAATCAGAGAATGAGCAAACTTTATTTTAAAGGTTCACAAATTAGAAAGGACCCTTTCCCACATCTTCAGGCGTACTGGGCCCACACTGCTATAACTATATTTTAGAGACCAATCAGCACTCTGTATGTTATGTGGTCAACATAATGCTGTCCACCTTTATTTCCAGGACTTTACCTTCTAGTCGGCTTTGTTTGTTTATTTTAGTATCCAGAAGCCATGAGTTGTTAACCCTTAGGCTCGGTATTATGGATATCGCAACCTTTCTGCCTTGATTCCATTTTAAATACCTTAAATCTGGGAGAAATGTGGCTTTTCTGCCCACCCCCGGGAGTGAACCCGGACCACAAGGAGTTCGTCACCCGCTCACCGCGCAATCCGGTTTAGCCAACTACACTAGAGAGCCGGGCACCAGTCGGCATTCTATAGGTTGTGTGGTCAACATTATGCCAGGCACCTTTACATTTCAAGAGTTTATTTTGTACCCACTTAAGGCAGGGTCAACTTGGGAGCCAAGGTAATTTCTGAAACAAATCTAGCTCTATTTGAATCCAAGAATTGGAACCAACAACCTTCGGACCCGCAGGCGAGAATCTAACCTCTACACCACAATGGCTCCAACCATAAAATGGCCAACCATAAATTTTCATTCTCGCCAGTATGACATCTGATTACACATTTTCTATAAAAACTGTACAAGAAGATACAGATATAAACAATTCTGCTAAACAAACATTTTTCAATTACCAATTTTGAGCTCTGTAAGAATGGTCTGGCCCAAGGTGAGAAGCCTCTGAACATCAATCTGCCTTGAACGAATTGAGTTTTCTGTATCCTAAAAATGATAAGTTAGGTTCAGTTTTTCTGAAATAAATTCTTCAGCACAATCTGAACAAAATATATAACATCTGTTTCTAATCAAAATGTTATATCAATGGTCTAGCATGTGTGATAGTCTAACACTTCATCCCCCACCAAGAATATGTACAGGCTTCATCTGAGTAGTTCATATTTTTTGGTTGTGTGTGCAGACTACAGAACAAGTCCTGCAAGAATGTCCCTTGTACATCCTATTGAGAAGTGTATACAGGCCCAATGAGTCAACACTGCACTCACATTGTATGGACCTAACAGGAAACTCCTTAAACATTCATGTCAGTGTGAATCAGAAAGCGAAAATAAGAAAAGAATCCCCCATTGGAAATATCTGCAATGGCACTACCTATTTGCTTTATGAAATGCAGCCAAAATATGTCTATCATTTCTTTTTCGTGTTTACAGGCAACATTAAGAGCACAAAAAGGCAAACATCACTGACAAAGCTGCTAACCGACTGCAAGAGCCTATTTACTCGACATCGCTTATGATGATGGTGACAGCAAGGAAAATGATGATGATGACGTGATAAGGAAAATGATGATGATGATCACAGTGAGGAAGATAATAATGATAATGATATTGATGATCAAACAGCATACCTCCAAAAATGACATGATGAGATTATGAGATTAAGGTAATTGGTTCTCTGCCAGATACAGACACAAGGAGGCCAGAAACAGGCACAAGGAGGCCAGAAACAAGCACAAGGAGGCCAGATACAGACACAAGGGGGCCAGATACAGACACAGGAGGGCCAGAAACAGGCACAAGGAGGCCAGAAACAGGCACAAGGAGGTAAGAAACAGGCACAAGGAGGCCAGATACAGGCACAAGGGGGCCAGATACAGGCACAAGGGGGCCAGATACAGGCACAAGGAGGCCAGAAACAGGCACAAGGAGGCCAGAAACAGGCACTAGGAGGCCAGATACAGGCACAAAGGGTATAGATACAGGCACAAGGGGGCCAGATACAGGCACAAGGGGGCCAGATACAGGCACAAGGGGGCCAGATACAGGCACAAAGGGGCCAGATACAGGCACAAGGGGGCCAGATACAGGCACAAGGGGCCAGAAACAGGCACAAGGGGGCCAGATACAGGCACAAGGGGGCCAGATACAGACACAAAGGGGCTAGATACAGGCACAAGGGGGCCAGATACAGGCACAAGGAGGCCAGAAACAGGCACAAGGAGGCCAGATTCAGGCACAAAGGGGCCAGATACAGGCACAAGGGGGCCAGATACAGGCACAAGGGGGCCAGATACAGGCACAAAGGGGATAGTTTTTACATTTACAGTAATATGATGTGTGGTGACCAGATGTCTAACTGACAGATCTCTGGTAAGAATTTGATTGTGCTCAAGTCACTCAAGAAAATATGTAATTCTGGAAGCTGACAAACATAATGAATGATTGTTCATTTCTGTTCAATGGCTTTAAACTCTTGTGGAAAAGTCTTAGTTGTTCGTCCATTTGTGGACCCTGGCTTTGTTGTAGGACCTGAGTTTTCTGCGTGTATCCATTTTATAGATCTGTGCAGTCTGCTGTTTTCTTGCCTTACAGGCACATGCACTTGGACTTCGGAGGGGGTGGGAGCTTGTTCGATCTCTAGGATGACAGTAGCCAATCTGAAACTGTTGTTGCCATTTAGAAAGACTCTCCATCAGGATCCCTGAACCTTTATTAGTTAGTAGGCTCAAACCATGAACTTCGCTTACTGGACTTATATTAGTAGGCTCAAACCACGAACTTCGCTTACTGGACTTATATTAGTTAGTAAGCTCAAACCACGAACTTCGCTTACTGGACTTATATTAGTTAGTAGGCTCAAACCACGAACTTCGCTTACTGGACTTATATTAGTTAGTAAGCTCAAACCACTAACTTCACTTACTGGACTTATATTAGTTAGTAGGCTCAAACCACGAACTTCGCTTACTGGACTTATATTAGTTAGTAAGCTCAAACCACGAACTTCACTTACTGGACTTATATTAGTTAGTAGGCTCAAACCACGAACTTCGCTTACTGGACTTATATTAGTTAGTAAGCTCAAACCACGAACTTCACTTACTGGACTTATATTAGTTAGTAAGCTCAAACCACGAACTTCGCTTACTGGACTTATATTAGTTAGTAAGCTCAAACCACGAACTTCACTTACTGGACTTATATTAGTTAGCAGGTTCTGACTGTGAACTTCGCTCATTGAACACTGAGTTCTTTATAAATGTTGTCACTCAGTCACTCATGCATTCTACAAAGGACCTGCCATATAATGATAGTGGTGGTGGTGGTGGTGGTGGTGATGATGATGCTGATGATGAGTAAGTAGATGATAAGTAGACAAACGGTGTTATTCACACCTGGATCAACACTCTTTGTTCTTCCACAGTGAAATGCTCCTGAGGATTCTCCGTCACAAGCAGCTGTAATGTTGCCTCAGTCCTATCCATCCAGTCCAGAATATTTTTCAGTTCATGATCAAACTCTGCTTTAGAAGCAGATTCCACACGACGTTTTTTAGAAGACGATGCTGGTGCAGAAAATGTTGCGTGTGCAAGCTCTGCCTCTTGTGAATCTTCTTCATAATAATCTGAGATCCTGGACAGCTCGACTCCAGAGTTTGCTATCTGAAAATTTAGTAAAATTATTTTTAACATTTATTTTATTCTGTAAAACCATGGTGCACAAGCTTAATTAAAAAAACAAAGGAAGTCTTTAAATTAGTTTTCAAAACTATAGGTATTATAGAATCCTAAACTCAAACTATGGGTGATTTCAAAAATGTTATTCAGTTTTAAAAAAACCCATGTGGTTTCAATAACTCTAGGTGGTCTCAAAAACTACAGATAGTTTCAAAAATTCCAGGTGGTTTTAACACTCCCAGATAGTTCTAACAACCATAGAATAGCTCCAACAACCCAGATAGTTTCAACAACCCTTGATTAGGCTTCATAACCTCAGACGGTTCCAACAAGTCAAGAATAGGTTTCCCAACTCTTGACAGTTCCAAAAAGTCAAGAAGAGGCTCCCCAACTCTTGACAGTTCCAACAAGTCCAGAATAGGCTCCCCAACTCTTGACAGTTCCAACAAGTCCAGAATAGGTTCCCCAACTCTAGACAGTTCAAACAAGTCTAGAATAGGTTCCTCAACTCTACACAGTTCCAAGTCAAGAATAGGATCCCCAACTATGGACAGTTCCAACAAGTCAAGAATAGGTTCCCCAACTCTACACAGTTCCAACACACCAAGAATAGGCTCCCCAACTCTACACAGTTCTAATAAGTCAAGAATAAGTTCCCCAGCTCTACATAGTTTCAACAAGTCAAGAATAGGCTCCCCAACCTCAGACAGTTCCAACAAGTCAAGAACAGACATTTTCAAATACCCTACAGGATTTATCAATCCACAGAGTTCTATCCACCCTAGACAGTTTTAACACCCAGAGATAGTTTCAACAATCCCCAAATAAATCCAAAAACCCCAAGTTTATTTTTAAAATGCCAAACAAACCTCTTTGCTCTGAGACTCCATATCCTGCACAAGCTTCTCCCATCTTTCCTGGAATTCTTCCAGCAGCGTAGAAATTTTACTGATAGCGACCTGGTTGTCAACTACAGACACAATCTGTTGACCACACTCGTTCAGAGCATCAAACCTCCTCACCTGCTCCACCATGTCATTTTCTATGGACTGAAATTTAAACGAACAAGTTAGATAACTGAATCAGAAAATTTACCATTGCTAATTTATTCATCTTTTTTCTATACAGAAGTGCTGAACCACATATGGTGCTGAGCCAGAATCAGGGTTCACACTGGTTAAGACCTACACCTTTCCACTGTCCTCCTACATCAAGTGTGATAACAAAACATAAAATAACATCTTGTAGGAAGTCGGCAGTCCGAAACCCAAGTTCAAGGTGTCTCCTTCGTGCCAAAGAACTGCATGGCTGTTGGGTGAACAGTCGTTAACGAAGGCAGGCAGCTTGTTGTAGAGGCGATGCCTGCTGGTGGATGTAATGTCCTAAGTCCCTTCCCCAGCTAATAATGAGGGTACTGCTGGGGTGACCGTTTATTAACTCTCATTTAATGCTTCAGGTCAAAATGGACGCTAGGCACAGCCACCTTTTTTTTCTGCCAGATGGTGGCCGTTGCAATTTTGCTCCATTTGTAGACTGGAAGGATATAGTTTCGTCGCCTAACTTCTGAGTTGAGTGCATGGCGTGACACTGTGAGCTACGTGTATTTTTCAATGTCACAGGAGCGGAGCAACTATGGGGTGACCCGTTTGCTATGAAGCTGAAACTAGGATTACCAGATTACCAGATTACTGTCCTCCTAGAAACAGGTTCCCAACTGGTAGCCTGGCAAATGTAAATAGAATTGGCTTTTTCTTCAAAGTCAAAGTGCATCTGCCTGAGAGGCAAGGGAGTCAAAATCCTGCACACAAATAAGACAGGTCAGTGCCAAACATGGACAATGAATAGGGCACTAGAATAGAAAATAACTACCTGTGAAATGTGCTGTCTTCACAAGGTCAATAAAAACATAAGAAGGGACAAGGCTACAAATACCAGCATTAGAGAGAACGTTAGAATAGGACCATGTCTGAATTGACTAAACTGCATTTGAGACTTTTTACAGCAATCTAGAAGGAAGGTGAGAGAAAGCTCAAGAAAGAGATGGATAAAGGGTGTAGCCGTACCTGCAAAACAGATACAGATTAATAAATCCATCATCCAAGCCACCCAATAAGTGAAAAACAAATATATAAATCCATGACACTGGGCTACAACCTGGTATCAGTGAGAAGAAGAACAGGAAGATTCTACGAAGTAGTAAGTAAATAAAATATGTTTTTATATGAGTATTATGTAAATGGTGCAAGCACAATTATTTTTTTTTTAAGACTAACCAGTAGCTGATGGATGAAATGATCACTATCATGTTGGCCACCTTTACTTCCCAGATAGTTTTCCAGTGCCCATTTTAGGGTGGCTGAAACTCAGAGCCCAGTCTCCTTCAACAGATGACCACTTTAGTCAAGAATGCTAGTTGCCACTCTTTTCAGTTTCTTGTGAAAGCATTTCTGATACATTAGATAAGTCTATGATTAACTCTTTTTTTTTTTACAGCATTACTCTTTAGTCACATAAAGCTCAGAGTTTATTGATGAGTCAGGGGGCCTGTAAATCTTTCGTTTGTCTATCTTTATTTCTACATCCACAATCTAAGGCACAGTAATCAGATTATATAAGTATTTTGAGATGTTAAAATAGATTCTCTGGTGTCTCTCTTCTTTGACAGTTCCAACCCCCAAATAGTTCTGAAAAGCCCCAGATAGTTTTAACAACCTCCAACAACCACAGATAATTCCAACCCCCAGATAATTCCAACAACTTCCAGATAGTTCCAACAACCCCAGATAGTTCCAACAACTTCCAGATAGTTCCAACAACCCCAGATAGTTCCAACAACCCCAGATAGTTTCAACTCCCCAGATAGTTTCATCAAAACCCCTATGGTACCAACAACCCAACCCCACTATAGTTCCAAGAACGATCATTTTAATAATTTCCTTTACATTCATTTTATTTAATTACCAAGTTGTATGATTCATGTCCTTTGAATCAACTCACCTTAAGGTACTTGACTTGACTAATGACTTGATCAACAGTGCTCAAATTGGTAGCTCTCATCTGCTGAAGAATTGCTTCCTTTTCCGTCAACCAATCATTGAACTTGGCTTGTTCATCTGCAAATTGCTGCCACCTCATCAGGAGCTCCTGCAGCAAGAGCCACTGTTCTTCCATCCAGTGACAAATGTGTGCCCACCTCTTGCCCAGCATTTCAAGCTGTTTTTCCATGGCAGCACTTGCTGTAGAAGAAGAAAAACAATGGTTTTTACTAACCCCATCAGTCATCAAGTGCCAATTAGTCTATAAAAATATTAGTCTGGCATCCAATGCCCAATATGCTTCTGGTGTGAAAAGGGGCTCTTTGACTACTATACACAGATATTAAACCGGTGAACTGTGACTAAAAAGCAAAGAAATGGGGAAGCAGAACAAAGTGCACAAAACTTACTTTACAAAGATGTTTATCTTCTATTTTCTTGTCCTACTTTATCTAAAGTAGCCTTACTATCTTTTGCTGTCAGAAATACACTGGCTGTGAGTTTGTAAAATGGATATTCCATAGGGCGAAAATGTAGAGGGAGATTGTGGAGGAAGATTGTGGAGGGAGATTGTGGAGGGAGATTGTGGAGGAAGATTGTGGAGGGAGACTGTGGAGGAAGATTGTGGAGGGAGATTGTGGAGGGAGATTGTGGAGGGAGATCGTAGAAGAAGCCAGTGTTACATGTTGTTGGAAATCATTATTTTCCCCACCAAAGATGGAGCCCCTGAACCTACACAGGGAAACATCAACATTAAACATGTCTTGAAGCAGCAGTGTCTACAATTTAGGAAGCAAGATATCTCACCTGTCTCTGAGTTAGTATCATCCACAACCACAACCATGTTCTGTAAGCCATCCACTTTCTTCTGCTGCTCTTCAAGGCTTTTTTGAATGGCCTAAATATTTAAAAAATCACAGACAATTCAGAACCATTCACAAATGCTTCTAGTGTAATTACAAGTTACATATTCATTTTTTTTTTAAATTGCTTATTTCAACATAAAAGTTAGTTGCATTTTCTTTACAGATTACTGCAGAACGAACCCTAGCATTATTTTTGGCTAGCGTGGTTTTTCTTGGCAAATTTACATCCAGTAGTTTGCCGTTGCTTTCTGGATGGTCGGCTCTCAAAACCACTATCAAAACCAACGCAATGTGCAAGGCCCACAGCCGGGATCAAACCCGGCATCCCGGCATTACCAAGCGCATCTTAACATAGACTGCAAAACAGAGGCCAGTCATCAAACAGTCTTAATCACTATCATCATCAGGTGCCTTGCCAACTGGCGTGGGTGATCATGCCTCTCCATAATATGCGATCTCCTGCAGCATGTATCAGTTCGTGTGCCGACACACCTCCATGCCATGCAACAAGACTGTCAAGCATGTTCTCTCGTCTTCCTCTACCTCTCCTTCCACAGATCTTTCCAGTCGTCACAGCATGCTCTATTTTCCCTCTTCTCATAACATGGCCGAAAAATGATGGCTGTCTCCTTCTGATGTCTGTGATAAGTTGTCTTTGGGCTCCCGCCTCTTTCAAAACCTCTTGGTTGTTCTTTTTGGCTGTCCAAAATATTCAAAGCATTCTTCTGTAAAACCACATCTCTGAGGCCTCTAGAAATTGTTTGGCCTGCCTACCGATTGTCCAGGATTCACAGCCATATGTTAAAACTGGATGTATGTAGCAAGCAAGAATTCTTTTTCTAACTCTCAATGACAAGGATATATTGCACAAGATGGTTTTTTTTAATCACTATACTACTACTTTTTAAGGCAGTGCAGGAGAGGCTGGTCTTTAGCCTTAGAATTCAGCACTACAGGGCTAATGCAGTTTTCTTGAACTGTGCAGCTTAGGATGATAAACACATTACCGAAGATTCAAATCCTTTAAATTGACTTGCTGCTGAAGATGGGGATGGAGCGCTTATGGGAGTGTCCCGAGTGCTATGATGTCGATTCTTAATACAACAACATTCAACATTCAAATCAAAGTCTCACACATGAGAGCATTCAGTTGCTCAGCATTCTAACCGCTAGGCCAGCTGCTCCTCTGCGTAGAGACAAGTACTATAGTTAAACAACAACTTTTGGAGATTCAGCTGAGTCTTTTATGGATTATCTGACCTGGATATACAGGTGTTTGGGGTAATGATCAGGCTGATTGACTGACTGCTGCTGATCCTTTGGGCAATGAGTTTCTTTATGTTGAAGCAAACATGGTGTAGGCTCTTTTGGATCGAGTGGACAGTGCAACAAATAGTTCCAACATGCAGAGACTAATTCAATTCAACTGGAAGTAAGCAGAGGTTCCGGATGATATTTAACAGGCAGGGGGAACTAATGGGGTAATGTTAATCAGGTTTAGACTAATGCCATCAGTATTGGAGTTCTTCACTGGCTACAAAGAAAGGGAATATAGCATGTGTTTGAATGCTGAGAGTACAGTTTTTTCAGTTCTTTAGGAATTCACTTATTGAACATATTTTGTTTCATTTATTTTTATTTATAGTTAAATTAATGATACACCACCAGCTGAAAATGTGGTCTTTTTTTTTTTTCTTGTTCTTCGATCCTTCTGTCAGAAAACTTATATCAGGAGGCCGGTAGCCTTTATGAAAGCTATCGTGCAGTCCATATTTTTTCATGTACCATACAGTTTTGTCTTCATTGTGGTTAGAACAAGCCAGACTGCGTCTCTGTTGTCAGCATACAGTTGACAGTGTTGGAGCACTTGCTCAGCATTTTCGGGTGCCACTCTGCAGGGACATGTCTCCATTTTTCCTACGGCGAAAAAAAAATACTTCTGCACTAGTTTATGCTTGTGAATTTGTAACAAATAAAATAGAAAGTATTTTCCATACTGCCCTTCCATTTTCTGTACTTCTCCATGTCGAAGCTTCTCTATGATTTTCTATACTGTGATTTTATTTTTGTAACTCCCCTTTTATTTTCTATAGATCCCATACATTTTTTAGGCTTTCCTGTTATGTTCTATACTTTCCTTTTTTTTTTTTTTTTAACTCCCCTTGTGTTTTCTATAATTCTTTTGATTCTTACACTTTCCTTTGATTTTCTAACTTCCCTTGTATTTTTCAGACTTTCCTTGCATTGTCTATACTCCCATTCCATTTCTAATCTTACCTTTGTTGTTATACACTTTCCATTGATTTTCTAACTTCCCTTCTATTTTGTACATATGTTTTCCATTTTCCCACTTCCCTACCTTGTTATGTAAATAATCAATTACCTTGTGTTCCTCTACTTGAGCTTTGATAGCCTCCAGGTCAGCTCCCATAACCTGCTGTTTCTCAATCCGTTCCTCCATGGTGGTCAACCAATCGCTTAAATTGTCCAACTGTTGCTGTTGTAGATCCATAAGAACCTTCTGGAGTCTGAATTCACACAAGACAACAAAGATAAAGACAGATGTTAAGTAATTCTTAAAACAGTGTTTTCTCTCAACACAGTGATAAAGTTAGTTGTATATATCTCCCAGTGTTGGTTGCAGGGCCCAAAGGGTAAACAAGAATAGACCCACTGCCTACCCAAAAGCATGTCGTAAGAGTCGACTAACTGGGAGCTTCCTTCAAAGTCGAAGTGCATCTGCCTGAGAGGCAAGGAACCAACAGTCTGCATACAAATTAGTCAGACGTAATTCCAATATACTGCGATCGAAACCCACTGCTGGCTGCGCGGATGTTTATCATGGTATGGGGCGTCAGTTCGTTCTCTCACCCCCCCCCCCCCCAATCCTTTTTTTTTTCTTTAGTCTTTATCTCTATCTTTGTTTCTGTGCGCTACAAAGATTATTTCTGACTGACTTAGACTCTGAAGTCAACACAGCCTCGAATGAGCACTATAAAATGTTGTGAGAGGTGAAGGCAGTCAACGTAATCAGTGGCGTACGTTGGGCATTTGGCGCATACGGGCGGGAGGAAAGGGGTGCAGTGGGGAAGGGGATGGGAAAGGAAAGGTTGTCAAAAAATGTGTGCTCAGTTGTAATTCTGACCAGACTACGGAACGCAACTTATTTTTTTTTTCAAGCGGTGCTCATCAGGGGTGAGTGTTTACATTTTTATAGGATGCGCCCCCCCCCCCCCCCCACTCCAAAAGGAACTCATTGTCCCCCTCCCCCGAATGAGACGCTGCCACACAAACAGACAACACACTCACTCACACACAGTTTTCTGGCACACTCTTTAAGAGGCCTGCCATCTACTACACCATAAGGCACGCACCTGTGCCTAATACTGGCTGATCTAAAAAAAAAGACAAGCAAGCAAGCACCATATATCCGATATGCTGGAAAACATGAAAAGGTGTCTTTCATACACACACACGCACGCACACACACACATGCGCGCGCACACACACGCACGCGCGCGCACGCTAACTCCCTGGTGGAGTTGTAGAGGCGTTACCAGCCTCTTTGAGAACTCAAGTATTACACTGCTTCCGGTATATGTTAATTAACTCATTTCTACAACTTCACAACGCAGGTATAAAACAAAGCCGTTTGGAAAACAAAGTAAACGAACCCTTTCTAATCACCACACTGAGGCGGTGTAAAGGGTGGAAAACATGTACAGTTTATAATAAGAGGGAGAGTGGCTGTGTAGAACCAATTAGGGAATAAATCATGGGGTACAGCAAATCGAGACAATGGAGAACACTGAATTGGATTCGGCGTTTCTGGTGCCATGCGTACAAATGAGAGGAGTCGGCAGCATGACAGCAAACTGACTGGTGGAGAAGGGGGAAAGTTCCGACAGAAAGATGGGTACAGCAGCAGGTAGGGAGGCATGCGTGCTGCTTGCACACTCAAGTACAAAGCGGGAGTGGGAGAGAGATGAATAATTGTCTGCAAGGACAGTATGTTAGGCGGTCCTGCCAGCCCAATTCTTAAGCCTTTAATAATAAAGTTTTTTTTTTTTTTTTTTACGGAACTGTGTGGTCTCGACGCGTGGTATCCGCCTCGGGTGCTAGAGGTTTCGGGTTCAATCCTTGGTAAGGGTTGGGATTTATTCACGTGGACTTGGACTTTTAGTTATTCCCCCTCGTCTCTGGGTAGTGAGATCGGTTGGTTACCTGTGTGCATTGTTGCGCACCTAAAAAATCCCTTTGCAGTTGGAAATCGAAAAGAGTAGCCTAACGGCGCTGCCCAGGCAAAATTTGGAGTTTAAAAAATCTACCCAACGTATTTCAGGATCCTCGCCCGTGCTACAGAGCCTGTGCACTGTGTTGAACTTTTTCGGACTCAAACTTGAATCAGAAGAAGAACCGAACACTTATGTGTTACACACGTGTGCCATGATGTAGATCCGTTGTTCAAAACTTCAAAAACTCAAAACTTATAGTTTGTTGTTCGTTGCAAGACTGACCTTATCTTTCAAGTTGACGACTCCAAGTATTTGTAAGTCTACTCCCTCGACTTCTTGGTCTCTCATATTTCACATGCCTCTTCTCTAATGTTGACACACCCTAATGCGGTATGTACATACGTGCTACAGTCATCCTTCTCAGCTGTGTAGTTTTCTGCCTCTATTTAAGGCCTTCTTAACTCGAGCCAAAGCTGCGGTGGTATAGTCGTTAACGGGTTTGCTCGTTAAGAGAGAGTTCAAGCAAAGCCATCTCCATCTCCAAGATGTAGATGGCTGGGGTTCAAGGTTCTATTCAAATGCAGGAGCACTGTTTCCCAGTCAGTACAGCTCTGGGATTGTTCTGTCTGTTAATCCACCTGTTTGGTTAATATAAATTGCTATGGGTGAAGCGACCTATGTTCGTATTCCATAATTGCGGATTCAAGCTGTACTACAGAGACGGCTAATGTAGACACCTGTTTCAACTGTTCTTTTAATGAGTACCTAGTTGGTCATGCGTCTTAGTAAACTTGTTTCTGCCTAGTAAGTAAATATTGTGACTGTTCAGGTGTCTAGTGTCTGCTTCTATCTTTTTTTTTTTCTATGAGAGCCAATCAATATATTGTCTGTTAGTTTATTATGTACATTAAGTTTCCACGGTCTCTGATTCATACAAACAGACCAGATCATTTTCAGAACTATCTTGAAAATGTCTGGGAATGAAAGGTGTCGATCAAGGGAACTGACCATCCCACCTTGTAAAGCCTAGAGCATTGACCACCCCACTTTGTGAAGCCTAGATAACTGACCATTCCACCTTGTGAAGCCTAGAGAACTGACCACCCCACCATGTGAAGCCTAGCGAATTGACTATCCCACTTTGTGAAGCTCAGAGAACTGACCACCCCACGTTGTGAAGTTCACAACTCGAGTGCAGTGAGGGACTGAAGCTGAACCCCACTAGGACCGTACACTGAGCCAGTGATCCAAAAAGTTACTATTCCTCCAGGTACTAGTTTTAAAAATCCCGTTCAACCGCAAGGTTATACCGGGGCCCTTGACGGTTACTAAGTAACCCGAAGCCGAACAGGGTGGGTTACTGAAACCCAATGGCAGTAACTTCTAAATGACTATGGTCACCTATTTATCTCCAACCCTGCAAAGATACATGATACACGGCATGTGGGATTTTTAGAAGTGGGATTAATTTTCCCATAGACAACATAAAAACCCAGCCTAATTAATAAACACACGACAATAAACAGACGATTATTCGGCGTATGTACTTGTAATATTATTGAAACCGCTCACTGTGTACAACAACAACAACAAGCAAATTCACAAAAAAGGTAATATGCACTCTCAATATGCTAGCACTCAGTAACTTCATTAACAGCATGCGGTAGCGTTATAGTTTTTGCGCTGGCATTTCCAATTTCCTTCTTCTTCGCGTTCACCGACTGTACACTCCGGTGGCAAGTTCTGGTCGGTCGTCCGCATTTGTAAAAGAACTTTAGGACTGTGTGCACATTCGTTTTACATATCTAGATTTTTGAATGCAGACAGTTGGGTTTTCTCCACAATGGGGCTCCGGAACCAACAAGGGGGTGATTTCAATCAACGCAGGGGAATTCTTTACAACAATCTAGATGGGGTGTAGCTTGCTGCATGGGTATTGCAGAACTTGTGAAATAAGTAAAGGTCTTATCTCAGCCAGATGATGCTAGGTTCATAGATGTATACATCACACCGGTCGCCTTTATCTTTATTTCCCAGGACACTATCTGGTACCTAATGTTAAACTATTGCATTCGCCGACATTGCGCACTGGAAAGTCGAATGTCTGACACCTTATGTTATATTATTATTACAATCGACGTCACTACACACCCGGCAATCCCATGCCCTGTCTGGTACCTTATGTAAGATTATTACAATTGACGCAATTACATCCACGTCTAGGTCCATCTGGGAGCCGGGGTCAATTATAAACCACCCACACGACCCACCCACGCCGGGCTACATGTTACTACTTTGTAACCGTTCTACGCCTTCAGCCGTATTGGGCATATAGGGCTAAACATAATTTTTACACACCACCCAGCACTGGGTGATGTAGACAGTATCACGCCGCCCGCCTACTTCCTAGGACTGTAACTGGCACCCACTCAAAGCCAGAGAGCCAAGGTCATTTTATTTTTTAAAGAAAAAAGTCCGTCTGTGGTGCTCCAAAAAGGACTACTTTATGGCTTTAAGACGTAACGGGTTTCCTAAAATTTGTAGCTGTTTTACTTTCATCCTTGAGATGTTATTCCTAGAGTCTGCAAATGTGGAGGGGTAACACTTGAAAAAAGGTACTTAATTTATAACTTACCCCTGACGTCACGAGAGACGTTCCCAATAAATTCTAGGGTGTTCAGGTTGTAGTTTCTCGCGATTTCTCTACATTAAAGTTTAGGGTTAGGGTTAGGAGACACTAGATGAACACTCAAAAAAGCACCACACAACAGCACACTTGCACACTTTCAAATAATGGACTGTCAGGTCAGCTGTGGATTTCCCACGGGGATTTCCTGTTTGGGGTACGTTATAAATTAAGAACCACAATATTTTTTTTTATCCATCTCTTATGCGGATTCTAACTCAAGACCTTTAGCATGGCAGAGAAGCGACTAGCCGGTCTGCTACTGCCACATCTCCATCGAGTGCCAATGGGTCTTTAAAAAAAATAGCACAACATGCCGACGCGTCCCTGGCCTCAAAACGGTCCGTTTATTTATTTTGTTTGTTTCTTATTTATTTTACACAAGACACAAAGCTATGGATATACAGGCGGCCAGCTTCACACACTGACTGGGAAACATAAAGACGTTTTCGTAAATGCCATTTTTCTCCCCGATTTTCACAAAATAATTAACGTAAACAAACCCCATAACTATCATGTTTTCTTTAAAGGATAGCATCGGTACATTCTCTCTGTCTCCCTCTCTCTTTATCTCTTTCTCTCCCTCTCTCTCTATCACTCTTTATCTCTCCCTCCCTCCCTTTCACCTCTCTCTTTATTTTTCTCTCCCTCTCTCTAACTCTCTCCCTCTTTTCCCTCTCCCCTCTCCCTTTCTCTCTCTCTCTCTCTCTCTCTCTCTCTCTCTCTCTCTCTCTCTCTCTCTCTCTCTCTCTCGCTTAGTCTCTATCTCTATCCAGAGACACCTAGTTTCCCCTAGAGGTTATCCTGTCCGACATTCCTTTAGGACATTAAACAAGGACCAGGTCTAATTAGTGTAGGCTGTTAAGTATTCATCCAGGTGAGCATCAAGAAGCAAGAGATGTTAACGAAGGCTTCCCATACTGTTATTAGAGATAGATGTCTTTTAGGGGCGCTGCCACACAGAAGTCTTGGGAGGTAGTAAAGATCCCTTTTCATGCCTTTAGGTGCATCAGGCATAAGGGAAGAGAACCCATATTTTTTACAGACCATCTTAAAGGTCGATGCTCATAAAGTGTCTGAAATTATTACAAAACAGTCTGCTGACAAATCACGTATAATCACAAACAATCTTAATCTTCATGTTAACCAGAGCTACAAATGTCACAAAACTGAGATTTTTCTCAATTTTGTGACACAAACTCTGGCACTTCTGAACTTCGGTCTTGTTCCAGAACTGTTGTTTGGCGTGCAGAACCGTCTTACAGATCTGGCTTATTTGTATGCAGATTGTTGATTTCTTGCCTTTCACAGACAGGTGCACTCCAACTTTAAAGGACACACCCCTAATTAGTCAGCTTTAACAACATACTTTTCCTGTTGGAGGAGACTGGCAGTGTGTCTCTTCTCCCGTCCCCCCTCCAATCGAGCCCTAAGACCCACACGATGAGTGCCGCTAAATCAAACCAGGTATCTTAGGATTATGAAACCCTGTTCATAATCCCAGAGCCACAAAGGTGGTACTGTTTAATCAATTAAAAACATGGAGATGGCCCGATTCAATGTAGAGAAATCAGCCCGTTATTCCCTGACACACAGCCCGACATGCGCTCACCTAGACTGTCTGTCTAGAGCCTTGATTCTCAGGTCCTCCCATCTGTTATTCAACAGGCTCATTTGCATTCGAATCTCTTTATTCTCCTCGGCGGTGACCTTTCCTTCTGTCAAAAGGTCATTTCCTTCCTTGAGGACGCCGCCAATGCTGTCCTGGTGCCGGGTCAGTTCAACCATAAACTCCTGTGGAAACGACAAGATGGTGGCCGTTAACTAGTGTTGGTGTTGAGGTTAATGAAGATTATATGAAGTAATTCACTAAACAATACAAAAGTGTACACAGTTATATACACAGACATATGCAGGGGTGGAAAAGTTGGGGGGGGGGGGGAGAGAGAGAGAGAGAAAGAGAGAGAGGAAGATGGACAGTTGGATAGTAGGAATGTAGAGACAAACAAGTAATCACACAGACAGAGTGGAAGCAAACAAATAAAGCACAGACAGAAACGGAGAGAGAGAGAGAGAGAGAGAGAGAGAGAGAGAGAGAGAGAGAAAGAGAAGAGAGAGAGAGAGAGAGAGAGAGAGAAAGAGAGAGAGAGATAAGATGTGAAGTTGGATAGTAGGAATGTAGAGACAAACAAGTAATCATACAGACTGGAAGCAAACAAACAAAGGAGAGACAGAAACGCAAGGACAGAGAGTGTGTGTGTGTGAGAGTGTGTGTGTGTGTGTGTGTGTGTGAGAGAGAGAGAGAGAGAGAGAGAGAGAGAGAGAGAGAGAGAGAGAGAGAGAGAGAGAGAAGCTGTGACGTTGGATAGCAGTTTGTTCTTTGGGGGTGAGAGGGATGGTTGGCCAGTTTATTCTATTTTTACCCTATCCAGTAGGACCCGAAACTCACACGGGGTCGTGCAATGGTCAAATCCTGTTTGTATGTTTCTGGTAGCTTTTCCTTCTACTAATATCAGCATCATCATCATCTCCAAGACCACTACCGTCATTATTTTTTGAACACACACTGGCGATCTTGCTTCCTAACTTTGGAAACGATGCGGCCGATCTATCGGCCAGACAGCAAAATAGCCAAAAAGACGAATTGGCCGATCGGTCGGTCCTATATAATACAAGCCTTGAGATTGGCTGGCAGGTTTTGGTACCAGTGGGGTTTCCTGTGCCCAACAATGGTAAAAATGACTGTTGCATTATAGCAACCAAAATATAGTAGGTGGTAGGAAATGGAGCAGAATAGTGTGCTAGAGGTGTCTGGTGTGTGTGTGCGTGCGTGCGTGCGAGCGGGTGTGTAGACTACGAGAATGCCCTTGTGAAAGCTCCGCCTTTTTGGTACTGACAGTTCAGAAGGCTCTGACTTCAAAGGGTTAATATTTTCTGTTATTCTGTACCCTGCATCACCCCTTTATGCCAGGACAAAAGATTGTCACGAATCTTCTCTCGTTGCCTTTCTTTATCTCTCCTTTCATAAATTTGTCCAGTTATCTCATCACATGTGAGAGTTTCTTGCCAGTGGTCCCATATACCGTTGTTTATAATACATTTGCAATCAGGTAATCGGGTAATCGAAGTGCCATCTAAAAGGGTCACTCCACAGTTGCTCCGTCTATTTGCCAATGAAAATCACACAGAATTTCCACCACCCTTCCTTGTTAAAAACAAAAATTAAACATTGCAGTCTCAGCAAAACGAATAGCATCCATGCGCATTAATCGCATAAAGCAACCGTCAGAGGTGCCAATTCCAACAGTCCGGCATTAGAAATGGATTTCATCGTCGCTAGAAGCAGAAGTTAAAACAGACATTCTTGCATTTGTAAATAGCTGATGCGTGTTATGTTGGCGTCTCTGATGATAGCTCACACCCGAAAAAGGTGTTTTTAAAGGTCCCTCTTGTCCGGCTCGCTAGCGTAGTTGGCTTAACCTGACTTCGCGACGACCGGGTGACAAACTCCTTGTGGTTCGGGTTCACGCCCAGGGGTAGGCAGAAAAGCCACATTTCTTCCAGATTTACGGTATTTTTCATGGAATAAATCAAGGCCGAAGGGTTGCGATATCCATAGTACTGAGCCAAAGGGTTAAGAACTCGTGGTTTCTGGATATTTTTGAAGAAAAAAAAAGGTCCCTCTTTATTTTTTTACAGGTGAAGAGCTTGTTTTGATTCAGCTGGCGAGTATTTATTTCCTAGCTGGCTGAACAGAAAGTTATCCTGCAGACGATGTTCCAGAGTGTGTTTCCTCAGTCTAAAAATGCAGTGTGAGTTTCCGTCGTGCAGCGGTTAACGCTCGTATGTGGGCTCGAAGGTTGTGGGTTCAAGCCGCATCTAGTCGGACTTTTTTTTTTTTAAATCTTAGTGTCTGACAACTAGGCAACCGGGGCTCCCTAATGTTGTATATGTAATGTCTACAGCAAATCTAAAACATCACCATTCCGCTGGCACAGCAACTTCAGTGGCAATCATTGTTTTATATTTTGCACAAACGACCCCCAGCCAGACGCATAATAAAACCACACACAAACAACTCAGTGAAATGAAACCAAGCTGGTGCCAACTGTGGGAAACCAGGGAACTACTATACCCCGCGCATAAACAGCGACACAGTTATGATCTGATTTTTTTTTCCCGTTCAAAAGTTTCTTCTTTTAGGTCTTCCTCTTCCTCCTCCCCCTCTTCTTCTTCTTCTTTTACCTTTCTTTCTTTCTTTTCTTCTATTACTACCACAACCACAACCACTCCTACTATTACTTCTTCCTTTGCGTTCCCTTTAAAGTGTGAACACATGGGTTTTTGTGTGTGCTTACATCAAGGCTGTGATATCCGTGGATCTGATTTTAGCAAACCTCTAATTAGTCGCCTGTTATGGTATAGTTGTTAAACAGGACAGAGTCTATTCTGGCTTGGCAAGGGAGACACCTCTCAGCCGCTTGCAGGGGGTGCTTGCTAACAATTATTGGGATATGGGTAGAATGACCATACGTCACGTTTTCACCAGGGCAGTCTCGTGTTTCAGATGTGTCCCGCTGGTGCTAAAACCGCCACTTTTCCCGTTTGGTAAAAATCTAGGAATTAGCTTAAAAAAAAAAAAACCATATCGATAGCCATAACTGTAGACCATGTTAGATTCCGTAGCTTTTAGATGCATTTGATGCCTGAAATGTGTCGATGGGAATTTTGATGTTTTTATTTTTTTCTTTTAGCGCAATTATAGAGCATATTTTGTTTATTTCTTGGCGACAGTGGGTTTTATTTTAACACCACTGTCGAGCAAGTAATTAACCCTTTTACACAGGTGACCTGAAAAATTAAAAAAAGAGGGAGAAAGGGGTGGGGGGTAAATTGACTTGCCTGGAATGTCTTTTTTTTTTTCAGCTCAAAATATTGACACAATGTCCCGTTTTCGGGGGGAGCAGCTTTAAAAGGGTGAGGGGGGGGGGGCGGGGGGGGGGGGGGGGGCTTCTGGATGCTTGAGCTGTCAAATTCTGGTGCCTGTGGCGCCGGTAAGGAGCATGCTAGATACTTTATAATGTCTTCAATAACTTACTTCGTGCTGGTTGAACTGCTCCTTGACCTTGTTGACATTGTCCGCGATCGGCTGCTGTTTCTCCATGACCTCTTCAGCTTCCAGGAGCCATGTGAGAACATTCTCCAGGGCGTCCTGGTACGAGATTAGCTCTACGGAAACTGAACTCATGGTGCTGTGGCGTGATTCGGAGCTACTCAATGACATAGCAGTCTGAAAAAAATTATACAGAAACGTGACATCACAGAGGTGTGGCGTGATTCGGAGCTACTCAATGACATGGCAGTCTGAAATAGATTATACAGAAACGTGACATCACAGAGGTGTGGCGTGACTCGGAGCTAATCAATGACATGGCAGTCTGAAATAGATTATACAGAAACGTGACATCACAGAGGTGAGGCGTGACACAATCAATCGTTTTACTGGCTAGGATAAATCTGTTTTGTTACAAAGCAAGAGTAACTTGTAATTTCACGTGGTCTGCAGTAACCTCTATTTTTTCCCCGTGGTCTGAAATAACTCGCATTTTTACATGTTCATATGTGTTATGGATATTTCCGTGACAGCCCTCAATTTATATGCAGATAAGTGATTTTGTCTATTTTTGTCTGTAACTGTAAACAATATCTGTTTTTTAAACACATGCTGCAGAAGGTTTTATGTCCGCAACGTTCATTTGTCATGCGTTAATGTGCCAATGTGAAGTTGACTAGTTATATCTTTGGTTTCGGTTAATGTCGTTTCATGGTGCATCAAGTCTGGGGTAACTAGTAATTTGTTATGTAGCCTGAAGTGTTCTTTCTTCTCTGCGTTTACCGACTGCAAACTCCGGCGAGGTGTTATGGTTGTTTTGAACTTTATTTAGTCTTGTTCCAGAACCTGAGTGTTGCGTGCACGTCAGTTTAACAAATCTGACTTTATTGTATGCAGATTGTTGGTACCTTACCTCACAGGTAGATGCACTCCGACTTCAAAAGAAAAGCTAGGAATGAGTCAACTCCTACGACATGCTTGTCAGGGAGGCTGTTGCTCTATTCTTGTTTTCCCTACAATAAGGCCAGGCAACCCACAAGGGCAGTGGTCTGGAGTAACTCGTTCCCTACATGGTCTCGCAAGTTCTACACAATAGGAATAAACTCACAGGGAGCAAGTACAGCGGGGAATCTACCAAGTCATCAGTAGAAATTATCCTCGTCGACACACGTTTCGGCCCACGATTCCTAGATGTATTCGGAGGTGGGCCCTCCTGAGTTCATGACGCTCAGGGCTGGTTTCCCGCTGCACGGAATTACCGGATGGTGTTATACATTTAACTCACGGTACGGTTGTGTACTGTGCTTTGAAGCTACTCACTATCCACAACTTTCTGTCTTGTGTGCTTGCAATCAATTCTCACACAGATAATTTGCCACAGTGCAAGCCGTGCGGCTTTAGTGGTATGTCTATCTACACGTATACTTTCAACAAATTTTGACACAGATGATCTTCCATAGCCCATGCCGTGCGGCTTTAGTGGTATGTCTATCTACACGTATACTTTCAACAAATTTTGACACAGATGATCTTACATAGCCCATGCCGTGCGGCTTTAGTGGTATGTCTATCTACAAGTATACTTTTAACAAATTCTGACACAGATGATCTTCCTTGCCATGATGTCAAACTGTGTAGCACCCCCACCTCACCTCTTTCTTCTCCACGTTTCTCACCACCACGATGTATTCCAGTCTCCATCTGATGCGGGCAGTCAGATCTCTTCGTGAGTCAGTACGCTTTCCCCCCGTGTGGGTTCCGGGGCCCCATTGTGGGAAAACAAGAATAGACTCACTACCTCCCCAAAAGCATGTCGTAAGAGTCGACTAATTGGGGAGCTTTATTTGAAGTCGGAGTGCATCTGCCGGAGAGGCAAGGAACCAACAGTCTGTATTCAAGAAAATGAGATCTGTAAAACTGATGCACACGCAACACTCAGGTTCTGGAGCAGGACTGCAGTTCAGTAGTGGACGAGCAACCAGAACCTTCCGCCAGAGTTTACAGCTGGTGAGCGCGAAGAAGAAGAAGAAGAAGAAGAAGAAGAAGAAGAAGAAGAAGAAGAAGAAGAAGAAGAAGAAGAAGAAGAAGAAGAAGAAGAAGAAGAAGTACGCTTCCGTCGATTCGAGCGAGCCCTCATCACGTGACGAAACCGTCTCGGTTAACGGAATGAGTTAATCGCACAACATAATGGGAAAGAGATTTCATAGGAAACTAACGTCACCGTAAACAACATACGCACTTACTGAAAACGTTCAAGGTCGGCTGTAACACAGAAAGCCATTTTTCTTTCGTGATAACATGAAACAGAAGCCGGTGACGTCAATTCGTGCTTTTCATTCATCCCCAGCGACTCTCAACTTTAACCTTTAACTCCCCGGGCCGATGCTACCCGCGTTTTCTATTCTTTCCAATTCTAGCGCACTCAGTGGTAATAAAGAGATGTAGTGAGAGTACAGTCAACTTGGTACTCATCATTTTTATAATCGTGCCTTGTCAACTGGTGTTATTCCCCCCCCCCCTCTCTCTCTCTCTCTCTCTCTCTCTCTCTCTCTCTCTCTCTCTCTCTCTCTCTCTCTTTTCTTTCTTTCTCTCTCACATCATCCGTTAGTATACCCCGAGTCCCCGAGTAAGCCCGAGTTCCCATACCGATGGACCATTAATGCAATTGGTAATAATCCGCCGGCCACCTGCTATACCTCTGCGTGCCGGAATCGCTACGGGGACCTCCAGCTGAATAGTCCTCCCGAAACGGCAGTCTAGACGTGTACCCGTGTGTTGCCACTCACAAGGGCAGCAACAACAGAACAAAACAAATTTTTTTTTTTAACATTTACCACAATGCAGGAAGAGATGACCAAGGAAGGGTGGTTTAAGTCTGGCTACTTTAATCTGCAGAAAATTGCATTTGCAAATCTCCACACCCCCCCCCCCCCCCCCCCAATCCCCATTTTTTTTTTTTTGTTGTCTTCTTTTGTTATCTTCAACTAAGAATCGAAGTGCAAAAAGTAAAAAGCATTTATGCTATATTGGGAGCAAAAGACAAATAATGAGGGGGTTGGCATTTAAAAGTGCTTAGATGGATCAAGTGGCAGACGACACTTGAGAATTAGTAAACAAGAATCAATCGGTCGTGGTGGATCTTCTGAAGGTCGCCTTCACAAGGGCAACTTGAGATGATTGAAAAGACTCCCCAAAACGTGCGGTGAATGTATATGAGGCAGTGTGAAGATGAAGTCGCTGAACACAGGAAGGCAGATGGCAGAAAATGGATGTCCTTTTTCTTGTGTGTTTATCCGAGGGCGCAACTGCGTTGTGACCGTTTAGAGTTTAGAGCATGACTGCACTATTTGCGGACGTCGGCCTACACATCCGACTTCTGCGCTGAAAGCGTTAGTCTTCTGGAAAACTGATGTCGATTCAATCAATCAATCAGGTGTCGTCTCCACAATGAAGGTTGGCTGCAATGGATATTCAACAAGCCCTGTCTCTTGCCCTTGATGTACACTCGCTCATACTGCTGTTCGTCCATCTCTTGATGTTATCCTCCCATTTGTAACGCTGTCTGCCTCTTGCTCGCCTACCTTGAACCTTTCCCTCTAGGATAATCTTTACAGTATTGTTATGTCTTTTAATGCGACCAAAATATTTCACTTGTCTTTTTTTTATTTCACCTAGCAACTCTCTTTTCATTCCCAATGTCGTTATGTCGTGAAATGATAGCCATTACGCATCGGTCTGTAAGGCTGATAACCTGTCTTACCTGTAATCTGCACAAAATTCAAACTTGGACTCGCCCAGAAATATATAGTCCCTTATATCTATATATATATAGGCCTGTATTGGACAACATTATTATGTCTGCCTTTTCTGGTTACTTTAACTAAACTCCACTTTTAAATGTATATCTCCTGGAGATATATTTAGGGAGTTATTTGAGGTTTCTTGGAAACCGATTTACTCCTTGCCCCAGTATACAAGGGACTTCTTTTGTACCAACGCCTGAAGTGTCTAAGTGACGCTATTCTCCTTGCCAGCTTCTCAAGCGTCTATATGTGTTAATCTGTGCCTGTATAAATTTCACTTTTCAAAGCAATCTGGAAATGTCTCAGTTTTTACATATGCTTGGGTAAGTTAATTATAGTTTACGAGTACCTAGAATGATGTCTGTAAAGTAGTCACTGCTGTAGAGAAATCCGTATCGGCTGTGTGATTTCACTTAGTTCGACCGTTCTTGATCGCTAGAGAAGCGGATTCGAACGTAGATCTTCCACTGTACAGACTAAATAGCTTATGCCCTCAATAAACCACCCATACTGATAAAACTTAATACCCTTTACAATTGTGTACGTTTTAAACTAATTAAAGAATCTGTACATACGAAATGGGGACAGAATTGGGTCAGGGCTGTGTTAATCAAAGGATGTGTGTGTTTGACCCAGATCAATGAGTGCTGGGGCGGTTGGGAAAGCTAGTGAATGCAGGTACTGACAGTAAATATTGGTGTCTGTGTGCAGAGTGAGGGGGAGAGGGAGAGTGATATATGTGTTAGACCACTTTATCTATCTCCACTGTATATCTGACTTGCCTTCTCTTGCACTAAACAGACAGATAAATATAGGAGACTTATGTCTTTTGGTCTGGAGAGGCAATCTGAGGAATGAAACAGGAGAGCAGGGAGGAGTCAGCAGATGGGGGTTGATGACTGATGCTTGCTCTGTCTTTCCTGTCAAGATGTTACCCTCTTGATGATGACTAATGTTGAGTTATTTTCTTGACAGGATGTATATTTTCTGAAGAGCTGGCAGAAGATTCACAGTCCCACCAACATCCACCAACCATCAAACCACCAGAAACAACTTGTTACCCACCAGCTAACACCTGTGAAGGTTCCTGACATCTCCAACATATGGGAGATGGTGCCTCAAACAGCTACCAGTGCTAGAGCTTAATGTGGCTCAAAGACATTGTGTGTCCTTACTGGTGATAGAGACTTGCTAAATACCGGTACAGTTGCTGCATCCTATATAGTGAAGTACTCTTACTACTTGATCCAGTGGAGCAGAATTCCCAGAGTCAAAGACAGTCGAATCATCCGGAGCTGAGGGAGGCATCATAGACAGAAAGAAGAGAAGATAAGTCTGATGCTTCGCATGATGTTGTGTTCCTCACAGCTCCTT